AGCAAACAGAAGTCTAATTGTGCTTATTCATTACGTAATCTCCCTTGCACATCAAGATTGCTATATATTACATTGTTTGATTCGCATCAGCAATCAAAACGATTTCTGTAGAATTTGTAACTGTTGATGCACTTGTGGTACTTGAATGGTCCCCGGGAACCACTTCTGGCATTTGTTGTGGATACAAGAAAGGCTTTGGAGGCATTTCAAGGCTCTCAATTTCTCCTTCAAGCATCTCAACTGCTTTATTCATAGAAGGACGGTCACTAGGCTTCATTTGTATGCACCACAATGCAACAATGATCATCTTCTTTATGATCTTCTCTTCCTCCTCTGTGGCATCTTCAATTTTTATGTCCTTTCCATCATTCAATTGGTCAAAAACCCATGTTGGAAAGTATATTTGGCTTGACTTCTCTATGGTTGCATTTAAATTCTTTCTTCTGCCAGCCATTTCCATCAATAGCATTCCGAAACTGTAGACATCAGCTTTGTATGAAATACCTCCAATGTTTTTATAGAATAACTCAGGTGCTATGTATCCGATAGTTCCTCTTGCTGCTGTCAAAGATACAATGCTATTATCGAGCGGGCATAGCCTTGCTAATCCAAAATCAGACACCTTGGGAAGAAAGTTCTCGTCGAGAAGAATGTTATGAGGTTTGATGTCGAATTGCAAAATTTGCATTTCACATCCTCTGTGCAGATATTCAATACCACGAGCCACTCCAAGCGCAATTTCAAACATTTTCTCACAATTCAAAGAGATAACTCCTTGTTGAGAAAATAAGTATTTATCAAGAGATCCATTAGGCATGAAGTCATATACGAGAGCACGCTTTGAACCCTCAACGCAGAAGCCAATGAGTTGCACCACTTTAACGTGGTGAATCCTTCCAATGGTTGCAACTTCATTGATGAAGTCTTGCCCATTAGCTTTGGACTTACCCAACATCTTGATGGCTACAAGGCGACCGCTACGAAGCTTTGCCTTGTATACAGAGCCATACCCTCCTTCACCCAATTTTATCTTGAAACCTTTTGCCATCTTTTTTATGTTCGAGTAAGAGTACCTTACTGCCACGAGCTTATTGTTCTGCAAAAAGTCTTCTATATTGTCATGCATTGACAAGTGCCTCCTTTTCCATTTGTATATTATTAATGCAGTTGCACAGGGAAAGCCGAACACATACATGACTATGTGCAATATTCCTGCGCAATTCACAAAAAGTGGACTCAATAGAGACATTAATTGATTGCTACAATACTATCAACATTTTCCTTAGTACAACATTTTTCATTAGTGAAAGGCCCGGGCGTCTGGTAACCTTCTCGTGTTTAGTTCTTATTTGTTACTTTTTTAGCAAAGATGGAGAAACAAATATATGGGAGAAATATTGGAGAAATAAGAGATGGGGAACAAAAACTTGAAAAGAGGTATTTAAAATTGCTTTTAATTTGTTTTCTTTTTGTGCAACATTTCATACCATTTTCTCCCTCTCCTCCTTTCTTTCTCATTTTGTCTCTCTATCTCTTTAACTTAAAAACCAAATATTGAAAAGATAAAAAAAAAAAAAAAAAGAAGGTTATCAAACGGGTTCATGCTTTTATTCTTCAGTTATCAATAGCTAAAACTGAAAAATGCTACA